CTGTTCCGCATCAGTGAGGCAGCTCAGTCTCCTATGGCCCTATCCCCTGCTGTTTCATGGGCAAGACTGAACATTCACGGTGCTGCGTGTGCATTATGTGGCTGGAGGGAGTTCCAGCTTGTTATATACATTCCTGCAGCAGAGCACCACTGTATACCTGCCTTCCTGGCTCAGCTGGCTGGGCTACGTATGGAAGAGGTGGGTGAAGTCAGCCCGATGAGTAACCCTGCCCAGGTCCTGCCCAAACATCAGCTTAGGAAAACCTGGTTGTTAAGGCTTTGCTTTCTTTTCGCTCAACGCCAGTAAGGAGTTTGTTGTTCACACTCAAACAATTTAACATCTCTGCTTTCTGTCAGGGGCAAAGGATATGAGAAAGCAAGTAATCCTTGCTCAGGTCCTTCAGCGATGCGAGTTGCAGTGGGTAGGACAGCAGAGGCAGTCGCAGCTTTGTCGGTCAGCTGTGAAAAGGGGCTTTCTTGCAGAATTTCCGTTTGTCTCGTCTCTTCAGCTTGCTGTCAGGGGAATCAGCAGCGTGGTATAGAAATACCAGCAGCGTTCGCTGGCGCCCCGGTGAGTCAGCCGGGGATGTTTTGGGAGGAAGGGGTAAGGTTAGGATATTCCGCTTGCCGGAGGTGCAGCGCTTGCTGCTGGGCCGCAGCAACGTGCAGGCAGCGATCAGGGACCAGGTGAACTGGTTCTCCCGTATCGGCTTTGCGTCAGCCCTCGGCTGCCTGCGCTGGGATTTCTGCCAGCTGCACTGGGCCAGGCCTCGCCCTGCCTCGTGTGATCTTGTCCTGCACTCAGTTCTTCTGGAAGAAAACTTCCAAGCAGGAGAACAAAAGAATTATAAAGAACAATTACAATCGCTAGTGTGAATTTATTGGAATAATCCTGGCAAGTTGTATATAATTTTAGATGTGTTTGAGAGGGTGTTCGACTAATCATAAAGAAGGAGTTATTTGATCTCTTCCTCCCCAAAAGCAATCGCTTAAATTGGCCTTTGTATTTGTGAAAGATTTTTTTTTTTTTTTTGAGACCCAACAGAAACCTGTTTGATCAGGTGTACTTCACAGTTTTGACTTAAGGTCTATCTTCAGCAGTGTAAAAGACATTTCTTGTTGTACTTCTCTTCTGGAGAAGTTTCATTTTAGATGTAGAAATGGGCCGGAAGTTTTGCAATGATGCGGGGAAAATCACACCACCAGATTTTGAACTTGCCCTAAGTACTGGAAAGGCTTAAGGGGAGAACTCGGAATTATGTTGTGAAATATTTTTCATCTTTGCTTTTGAAGTTTGGCTCTGGGACTCATCTGCAAAAATGAAACAGGAAACAGATTGTTAGCTGAAATGTCTTCCACTCCTGCATGGCACTGCTCTTCAGGCTTCAAAATCGTCAATTTGAATTAAAAGCTATGGGGGGAGTTGTGGCTCTATCTCAGTTTGTGGGGGAAAATGTGAACTTTAAACCAGATCTTTACCCAAAGTCTTTTACTGTTACCTCATTATACTTCCTTTTTCTGCTTTGAAGCAGAAGTTCAGAAATAATAATAGACCTTTTGCTGGCAGTGTTCCATCTCTGACCAGAACCCAGACAATCCTGAAAGTTGCAATAAAACCTGCTGTGAAAGTTCTGGTCTATATTTTCATTGATAAAGTTTGGGCAAGAATCTCCTTGGACTCAACACTGGACCCTCAGATGTTGGCTTATGGTTGTGGAGCTTTGCTAGTCCTGCGTTTATACGACTTCTGTGAATTGGCTTCACAATGTGTTTTTGAATTTGTCATAGCCCTTCACTAGCGACAAGGCTTTTCTTAGTTCCCCGAAGTTGGTCCATCTTTAGCATTTCCTGTGTGTGCTTCCTTTGCGCTGTGCATTGAGCATGCTGAAAATAGGTAGAAAACCGGGCGTAAAGAGGAGAGATGAAGAATATGTCTGTTGTCTTAATCGCTAGCGGAAGTATAATGCAAACATTGGAGGAATCTTTTCTGTAAAACATCCTGTAGGAAGATTAGATTATAAAGCAGACTGTCTTTGGAAGTACAGAGCTATTAAAAAGGCTGGGACTATGTTCTCTGAAGATGACAAACAATTTAGCTCTGCACTTTGCACGTTAACTTTTACACATTAACTAAGTCACAAGGCTGTTCCATTGCACATGTTTTGACGTGACATTGTTGATGAATGTGGATGACCGATTTACTTGCCAAAACCGTAGTTTATGCCTCTTTGTACCCTAGCTATTTAGTCTGGGCTGCCTTTCCTGTGGTAAAGTCACCCCTGCTGCCTTCCCCCAGGGACTGCCTTCCTCTGTCACGAGCCTTTCCAAGGGTCTTGCAGTCCTTCTGTTTCTCCTTCGTTTTCTCCTGGGGCTGTGGTCACTCAGCAGTTGATGACAACTGTGGTGGGACACCCCAGCCTGGGTGCTGAGCTGTACTGAAGGCTGATGGCCTCAGGAAAAACATTGGTAGTGGCTATGCCCAGATGTGAGCACTCGCATGTGCAGGAGGCTTTGTGCTGCTAGTGGCTGGCTCCACCTTTGATTTGGGGTGACTATGTGGCAGAACTTCCTCTAGCCTGGAATTTTTAAAGCCATAACTCAGCTCTGCGTGAGGTTTGTGGTGGTGGGAGCAGCAGAGAGACCAAGGGTGAGGTAATTTTTGGGGTACAAGCACAGTGGCTGGGAGTATCACCATGCTGTGTGTGTATTCATGGTGGAGGATTATGACTTGGTGCATGCTGGGGAGTCATGGCGCACCTGCCTGAAATTTCCCCAAAACCTGAGAAACCAGAATACTATTACTTTCCAGCCATACCCATGTTTACCAGGAAGGCTTCAAAACTCAGCAACAAACGCAGTCAGGGGTTACAGTTAGGGTGGGATGACTATGACAGTAACTTTTAAGTCAACCCAGAGCATCGCACTATTCCTGCTGTGGTCACTTGGATGTTTTCCACAACTTCCGTGGGAGCAGGGGCCAAGCTGAACCCTTTTGGGAACTGTACAGGCAGCTTTCTGAGCTGGTGCTGGCCCAACTGAGCAGAGCATTTCTGTGTTAAGAAAACCTCCTGCATCCCCTGCCTTGACTCTACATTGTTTTCACTGGGTCTGGGGCCAACATGGGCAATCACGGTGCATACTTGTCCTAGAAACTATTAGAAATAAAGGATATATTGGGCAAATCCCATCGCTACCTTTTCTCCACAATGATGGTTAGTTAGTTCAGGAGTGTTCCTTCTCTGTGGGTGCCCTTGCCCAGATTATTCTGTTCCAGAACAGCGAATAGGTGAACAGTTGCATGTGCATCCAGCTCTCCGGGCCAGAAATATGGGATGTGCTTTTTGAGTCATAAGCTTCGCTCTTTTTGTGCAATTGAAGGCAAGGCAGGATGGAGGTGCAGTGTCCCCAGCCCCACCATTAGTGCTGCTGCCACGCCAGGGACTTTTCCTGTCCCACCTTCTGTACAAGAGCATAGTGGTGGAGGGGGAAGAATTCAGGTTGCTCACGGTGGTGAAGTGAGAAGGTAATGGTGCCCTGTGAGCCAAAGTGGTCTCATCTTTGCCCTGCATCCCTGAAAAGGGGTGGGAAGAAGCCCTGGTCACTGTATGCCTGCAGACAGGGAAATGGGAACAAGATTTTTCCGCAGTCAGAGGAAAAGTTAAAGGAAGTTTTAGGAAGTGCTTTAATCATTAGCACTGCCTGAAAACCCAATGCATGTGGAGAATAAAAAAACCTCTTGAGAATTGCCAATGCTATTTCTTTTCCTTTCCTTCCTATTGCTTTTCTCCACTTTGTAGAGGACCGTATTTGAGCCCCAACACATCAGGGTCTTGCATGACATGTGCTAAATGTCTCTAAGGGTTAGTCTGATCTTGGCTTCATCACTTCGGGCATCCGATCCTGGTAATTCTGAAGTACAGGCAACATCCAGGAATGTGAGAGTGGTGTGGGATGAGACCTGTCTGAAATTAAGGACGTCTCCTGTACTTGGAGGTAATTGAAGGGCAGGCACCAGACCTGGATGGAGGGGAAGGAGCCAAACAGGGTAGAGGAATTAGCAAGTCCTAGCTCCGGTGTGAGGAGTGTTTAATTAAAACACATAGGACTGAGGGAAGCAATGAACTGCTTGTAAGCTGCATGATGAAATCCAGCTGTAGCCTACTGAAAGCAAACAGGCTGGTTTCCCTCAAATTTCCAGAACGTGAGTATGAACAGTGCTTCATTTTACAGGCATCATCTTGTGCTGCAGGATTATAGAGGGTGGATGAGCTGTTGTAACCCCTGAGAGAATTTTTTTATGCCATTGGTGAGGTATTACACCAAGGCAGAGTCTTGCCCTGTTATTTCCAGGGCTGTCTGCAGTTCTGTGGATAAAAGCCTTCAGTCTCAAGGGCTGCAGTTGGTAAGCTGTCACTGGTATGTTGGCCTCTGTTGGCAAAACATCCGTGTGGAGGAGAGTCTGTTGTAGAGGATGCACAAATCTACTTCCTCCAGGAAAAGGAGGGACTATGTCTTGCTGAGATTAGGAACATTTGTACCTGTTTTAATGCTTAATGCTCTTGTGAGAGTGGAAAGGATGAGTTTTTCTCCAAAAAAAAAAAAAAAAAAAAAGCCCCAACCCACCACCAACCCACCCCTGTGTTGATTCCTCCAAATGCAGTTTTGGGTAGGATGTAGGTAATCTTGGGTAGGCAGCGTGAACTCGGCCTCCTACAGAGACACTGGCTGATGCATGTCAACAGACTTCAGTGTTTCAGCTCAGCTGAAGTGGTGCTGTGTTAGCAGAGGAGTGATACACAGAAGTGAATTCTCTCTTTTCTGTGTTAAAGTTTGAATGGGTAGCTAGCTTCAGATGCAGCATTTTTTTCCCTCTGGATCTTTGCATACTGTATTCATTACTACTAAAGTTGAAATGTTAATTGCACTGTTAAAAAAAGGTCCATGTTTACTTTTCTGGGCAGATGCTTAATAAGTAATGGCTAAAACTTTATTGTATTTCAGGCAGCAGCAGCCGGTCTCAGCTATGTTGGGGCATATGTCATTAACACCTACAAGAGCTACGACAACTTTCTGCAGGACAAGTATGCTCTTTTGCCAGCCGTGATCATTATTTGTGTCGCTGTGGTAATGTTCATCATTGGGTTGATTGGCTGCTGTGCCACCTTCCGGGAGTCTCGAGTTGGTCTGGGGCTGGTGAGTATTGCATGTTTCTTGACTGTCCTTGTCTTCACCCCGTTGCATGGTATGGGAGGTGCTATGCTACACCTCCTTGGGATGCACAGAACAAGAACTAAAAGATTATTCTGAAATAAAGTGCTGAAGCGCCGCTCCTTTGTGGGAGTTATGCACTGCTGTGATGCACTGATTGATGGCGAGTGAGGTGCAGGCTAAATTATTAGTTGCACTGCCTTGTATAGACAAATACCCATAGCCACGGACAGTTTCATGGCACTGCCTCAGCTATTCTACTGGAGATGAGTGTGGAGAGTAGCAAGTTTTGAGAAGCAAGGTGGTGGTGAGGGAGCAGGAGAAGTGAATTTCCAAAGCAAGCAAAAGAGATATGTATCTGATTTCTGCTGACTTTAGTTCTCTGAATCCTGAAAGTATGCCTTGGCTTCTAGGATGATTTTAAAAACCCAGAAAGGTTCATGTTGAGTAACTTCAGGCCCCCAACTCATGCCTTGAAGGTGACGTGAGCTCAACAAGCAGCACCCAAAGTACCTAACTCAGCTTCTGGTTTATCTGGGCAGTCTCCTGTTCGACAGCCGCTTTGTGCACTATTTCATAGACTTTTCACACAGATCACATCATGGCAGTGTTCAGGACACTGCCTATGTTGGGCACAGATCCTGTGGAGTCATAGTCGCAGCCACGCACAGTGATCTCCTATTCTTAAGTTATTTTCTGGAAACTTTTGACTGGAGAGGCAACAATGGATAACAATAACTTACCACTATAAATTAATGAGATGGGTAATGTGCAATTAAATTAAAATGCCGTGGAATTCTTCCTTACAGTGTGTCTCTTTTAATTTCAGTTCTTGGCCATTATCCTGATTATCTTTATTGCAGAAGTATCTGCTTTTGTCCTGGGATTTGTTTACAGGGAAAAGGTGAGCGAAGAACTGGCATCTCTGTAGTAACCTAAAAATAAGTAACAGATCTTGCATTGTTAAAGCATTCCAATATATCCAGGTTTTTTTTGCACTTTATCCCCTATCCTGCAGTCTGCAGGGCAAGTGGGAGTGAGGGTGTCACTATCTGGTATGTGGGTCAGTCTCTGTTGGGAACATGGCAAATACATAAAATACTTGGCATCATCACACTGCTCTCCAAGTTGGATTAAACCATTGTCAGTGGTCACAAAGCAAGTCTCTTCCGTCAGTGGAGGGAAGCTCCCCTGGAACTTCCAGAGAGCTCCAGGAACGTGATTTTCCTGAAGTGCTAGCTGCATTTTATCTAAAACATTGCTTGGGGGTTTTGGTGGTTGGTGTTCTTTTTGTTGTTTGGTTTTGGTTTGGTTTTTTTTTTTTTTTTTTAATCCCTGACTGTGTTGGGATACAGATCTTTTGCAGTTTCCACTAGATAAAATTCTGAGCTCTCAGGTTGAAATAGTATGGATTTTTCCCCCCCTCTAAATAGGTAAAAACTGATGTGCAAGGTACAATGCGCTCGGTGTTTGAGAAGTATGATGGGAAGAATCCAGAGTCTAGAGTTGTGGATTACTTGCAAGAACAGGTAAGAAAATATTTAAAATTTCCTGACAGTTATTTAGAAAAGAACAATTGGGTCCTCAACAAGGAATTTGGGCTGGGAAGAAAAAGGGAGAGGTTCAGTATGTTCATATTCTGCAACTCAGCTCTGCAGCAGTGTTTAGCATCTGATTCTCCAAGGCAACTGAGGGGGCAGAGTTGGCCTTTTTGGGCTCCTGGTATGAAGTTCATGTAAATGAATGACCTTGCTGATGTGAGGGGCCTTTGGATCAGACCAAATGAGTACCTATGAATAGCTGCTGCTGAGAATCCTGCACCATAAACGAGAAAGATGGCAGAAGACTTTACCCTGCAACCTGTCACTTTAATATTACAGATTTCATAAAGAATAAACTAATATGGAGGCAATAATGTGCGAAGGGAGGTTGATCTATTATATCTACTGCTGTTTTCCTGAAGTACTGCTATTTGTCAATCTGCACTGTGGGCAGCTGTTGCCCAGTACACCTCAGAGGTTTAACTCGACATTAGCAGTCACGTTTGTATATATTCATACATCCCTGTACCTGTCTGTGTTTGGCAGCTTCACTGTTGTGGGGTAAAGAACTACAGTGACTGGACAACCACACAGTGGTTTAACTCCACCGGTAACAACAGCGTCCCTCTGAGCTGCTGCAGGCAAGACACAAAGAACTGCACAGGGCGTCTGGATCAGCCACAGGAGCTCAACAGACTGGTGAGGATCAAGGGCACAGTTTCATGCCGGCCTGCAATTATTCTCAACCAGCCAGAACCAATGAGGAAAGCGTTTCAGGCAGGGTTTAGGGATAACTTTGTCCACTTCTTCCCAGAAATTTGTCCCCCAAGCCTTCTTCTGCCCATGGTTTTCCTGTAGCTAACTTCCTTCTCATATAACTCTATGAAAGCTCCTAGATGATGAAGGACGGGCACCTGTCTGGATGTCTGGTCTTGTCTGTCTGCTGGTAACTCCTTCATTTCATGTTGCCACAGAAGCAACGTGACAAGGCCAAATTGCTAGTTACGGGCACGTAGTTCAAACAGATCTGGAGTAGGGAAAGAGACTTTTCTGGGATTGACCACGCTGAATCTGGAGAACTGCGTACCAGGTCCTTCAGTCTGGGGCAAAAGCCCATAAGTTGACTTTTATAGATACATACCATTGCTGGTCTTCCTTGCTCAGAGTTTTGGGCACTCCTTTAAGTGACCTGAGCTAGAGGAGATTAAGAAGCAGCAAGTGTCTGTGAATTGCAGTTTGTCAGTGCCTCTCCTCAATCAAGAGGAAAACAACAAACCATCAGGTCAGTAAGACAAGAATGGAAGCCCTCAGGTCTGAAGTGGTTGATTAGACAGGACTTAAAAGGTTCTGCTTTCTTTGAAGGGCTGGGGAGAAAAAAATAGAAAAGTCCAGCTGAATTAATGTCTTTTAACTTGTTTTCACCGGTCTCTTTCATGGCAGGGCTGTGCAGAGGAGCTGGAGTCTGGGCTGCAGAGTGTTATTAGCTACGCCATGCTTGTCATTCTGGGGTTTGCCATTGTAAAGGTAAATGTTTTTGTCTCTTCCCCCATGGAAAATAATACTGTTTGCCCTTTGATGCTGGGGCTTTTTCTTCTACCATGTCCTATTAGCCTACAGCGTTTTTCTGGCTCTGAAGTAGACGCAGTCCTCTATTCCTCCCTTGTTTTCTTCCAATTGTCTCCATTTTGTCTGCCTAATGATATTACCAGGGGAGGGATCCAAAAAGCTAGTAGGGAATTTGGGATGGCAAGTCAGTGGAGAATCCACCTTGGCCATTTGGTAGGCAGTACAAAAAGCTCAGTGTGCTAAAAGGCTGATTTAGAATTCTTTATTAAAACAACCAGCTTTTCTATATTTAACTGGGGGTTTAAAAAATTCCTCATCAAAGTTTGTTTTTAGATGTAACCCAATGAATAGTCCCATGCTTGGAGACATGGAATCAAAATGGACTAGAAATATGATTAGGAATGAAACCAGCAGGGCTATTTGTAGACTTATAAAGACCGAAATAAATGAAATGTGAAAGCAGATCATCTTGTGGATGAAAACTAGATTTGAAAAGCCCTGATGGAAAACTCCTTGCAATTGACACACTGAAGAAATGCCTACGCAGGTTTGTGAAGATCTGACCCATAAATTTTAGCCTGGTGGTTTGTCATTGTTCCCCATACCTGTTCTCCAAGATCAGTAACCTGTTCGTTGTTGACAGAGATTTGAACCACTAAATAGCAGCAGTGTTTTCTCTTTGACTACCTGTTCTCTGTAAAAGAGTTGCTGCAAGTTGAGCCAGTGCAGAACACTTACAGTTTAATGCCCCGCTCCTGAACTCAGTGCAGAAACCAGAGTTTGTCCAGATGTCATCTCAGGATTGGGGCTTGTCTTAGTTAAACTTTCTTAATTTTGGCCCTAGCAGAGAGGTGATTGTTTACAGCATTTGATCTCATGGTCTTAAATTGCTCAGTGATGTCTTTTTCATCATTTCCTTTCCCTCTATAAAAGTGATGAGTTCTACACTCCCATTATATGTCCTGTTACTATTTGTGATGAACCCTCCCACTGGGATCTCTCTTGTGATCATCTCTAAAGATTGCCTTAGCATGTTCTGCACTATCTTTATTTGTATATTTTATATGCTTAAATATTTTATGGAACTTGTTTTAAGTCCAGAATAATCCCATACTTTCACTGGAATTTTTCCTACAGTACGATAGCTAGGAATTAATGTGGATATGTAAATTAATGGAAGAAACCAGGGAAGAAAACACTGAGCTGGAACTATTATTGGAAATTGATTTGCAAAAAAAAAAAAAATCACTTTCTGTATATGTTTCTGTATACTTTCTGTATATTTTCTAGATGTTTTTTAATGTGAGAGGAATGTCCTTGCTATGATGAAGTCTAATTAACATACAGGTTTTGAGTCTAATGACTGAAACAAAAAATGCAGCAAAACTAAATTTCTTGTGCACTCTCTCTTTTTCAGTTCTTTGGCATGCTGAGTGTCTGCGTGCTTACTTGCAAGAGAGAAGACAGTGGATATCAGCCTCTTTACTCAGGGGTGTTTGCTTAACAAAATCACAAAGATCAATTTTCTTTTTTTTTTTTTTTCTTCCCGATGATAAAATAGACTTGTAAAGATGAACGCTAAAGGACAATTTATGACCTTCCTGATAAATATTTTGTTATGTATATGAAACAGAAAGAACATTGTGTATTCACTTGGGAAAGTTTCTCGCAGGTGACGTCAAGTGACAATTTCAATATTCAGTGCCCTACAGTAATGTACCCTCATCTTGCATACCACAGCTTTCTGTAAGGTTATCGTAGATTTGGATTTATGACTTTAGTTAGCACCAGATGGTCTAACAGACTCCAGAAAGAATCTTTCTTCTGCAGTTCTTTCCTCTACACTTAAAACATGCAGAAGAAACATTAATCACTAGACTGATTGAGACCTCAGAAGGGGTTTCAGTTGTCTGCACAAACATCACATGCTTCCCATGGTGTGGTTAAACAGCAAAAGAAACCTCTGAGTGCCTGATTCAGATATTCTTCATAAGCTTGGGGAGTGAGATTAAGTTTTCTTCATATCTGATGGTGTTTCTTTTTTTTTCCCTCCTTCTTATGGTCATATGTTGTAATTCAGTTTACTGCAGAGGTTGTTAGTGCAAGACACTCCATGTTTAAAGTCTAGTATGGACATTTGAGTTGTTTTTTTGAAGCAGCTAGCAAATGTGAACAATCATGTGTTTTGAGCTTTTGGGCTTGGGTTTTTTAAGGCTTTTTTTTTGTCTCTCTGGCTTGGTTTCTTGGTTTGCTTGTTTGGTTTTTTTTTTGTTTGTTTGGTTGTTTTTTTTGTTTTTTTTGTCTTTAATTAATATTATTTGACATTAAAAATTGCTTAGAAGCAGAGCTTTTGAAAATTTTTTTTTCTCCTTTTACTGATGCTTTTATGGTTTGCCTAAAAGACAGACTGTATCTCTCTGTTTAATGTAGAAGTTGCAAGAGTTATTGAGATGAATACAGGCTGGATGATGGGAGTCACAGGACACGTTGGCTCAGTGTGGTTGTGTAGCCAGGACTGCTGGAAGTAACCGCTTTTCACTGCTGTAAATGTTAAGATGATGCAGTTTTGGACTGAGCAATCTCAATAACCTGTTGTCTGTTGGCATCATGCAATGCCTTGTTTGCTAGTTTTCCTTTCTCCTTAAAGGTCTGCTGAATGCACTCACTTTGTGCTTTTAAAACATCACTGCTTTTAAAATGGTCCTTCTTTAACTCACTTTCACGTTAATCAGTTTTTCAGTTCTTTAGGGTTTTGGGGGGTTGTTTTTGGAGATGGGGAGGAAGGGAACTACGAGCCATTCTTTATTAGGGGATTGTGGAAAAATAGCAGTTCTTGCTGATTTTTTCTTCAGAGAGTTAAGCAGTCTATCCTTAGCAATAAACCTTTCTATTTGCAGTTAATTAGAAAAAAAGGAGTTTGGGGTAAGTGTAAAGCACTAAATCTTTGTAGCTAATTGGAAAAAAAGGAGTTTGGGGTAAGTGTAAAGCACTAAATCTTTGTAGCTAATTGGAAAAAAAGGAGTTTGGGGTAAGTGTAAAGCACTAAATCTTTGTAGCTAATTAAAAAAAAAAAGGAGTTTGGGGTAAGTGTGAGCTGTTTATTTATCTCTCCTCCCCCGAGGAAAAAGCAATGGGTGATGATGTTCTGTAGGAGACATACCCGTATGTAGATGTCGCAAAGCGACTTAATTTTTATTGAGGGCTTTGTCTTCTGTTGAATGCTGAAATAAACGGAGTTCATCCAACCAATTAATAAACTACTTTGTGGGGTGGGGTTTTTTTTTTGTTTTTTTTTTTTTTGAGAGTGTGTGTGTGTGTCAGCCCCGCCGCGGGGGGCGGGCGCTCCCCTCAGCGCCGCCGCTTCCCGCCTTTCCCGGCGGCCCCCGCGGCGGCGCCACTTCCTCCCGCGCATGCGCCGCCGGCACTCCGCACCGTTCGGCGGCGGGTTTGAATCGCCGGGGGCTGCTGCGCGCCGGGAGCGGCCTCCTCATCTCTCCTCATCGCCTCACCCTCCCCCCCGCCTCATCTCATCATCTCATCTCATCTCATCATATCTCATCGCTTCGCATCGCCCCCGCCTCGCAGGCTCCGGCCGTCGCGGCGGTGAGAGCGGGGCGCGGTGTGTGGTTTTTTGGGGGGGGGGGTGAGGTGGGGAAGCGCTCGCTTCGGGCCCGGGCGTGAGGCGACGGGGCGGGCGGGTGCCCGGTGGCTAGCGCAGGAAGCGTGCCGGTCCGCGCTACTTGAAAGCGAAGAGCGGAATAAAAGCTCTTCTTGCTGTCAGGTGCCAGGTGACCACCGGAGGGAGCCGTGTGAGCGCAAGGGCCGCCTGGCGACAGCGTTAAACCGAGGTCTGCTGCGCGGCGGTTTGGGGGAGGGTGCATTTCAGCAACTCTTTTTAATCAATTATTTTCTATAAGAGAGTTAATACGTATACTTGCACATCAGTAACCGATATATATTGCTGCTTTTTGTGCCTCTGCTAGCGGGCAAGTGCGCATTTTGTGTAATTACCGCTCTTTTTTTTTTAAAAACAAAAACTCTTTAAATACTGATTATCTAATGCAGTCTCCCTGAGAGCCTTATAAAACTACTTTATATGAACCAGATATTTATTGCAGTGAATTTCCAAATTCTTTAGTAGTGAATACCTTAATATAATAAAGACTTAACAGTTTCATGAGGAATTGTACCGATGTTACACTATGTTTATTTCAAGAGTTCACGGAAATTGCTTTGTTTTGTCTAATGCCAGTCACTGCTCCCTCTCCTGCTTTCAATTTGTTGAATGTAGTTAGTATGTTTACTGCTTCATTTAAGTTCCCTTTGCTTCTTTGACAGATTGGGGTCCTTTCTAAAATTCTGCTTGTGTGCCTAGTGTTTGCAACTTAGCTCTTTCTTAAATTACTGCATTTTTTATTATTTCCCCTCAGTTTGGTAATAGAAGATATGGAGCCATTATGCGTGGAAGATCTATGCTTTCATATCAACACAAAGATTTCAACTATTAAAAAGACTCTTCAATTAAGAAGCATAGGTAAAAGAAATTAAGAGTGGGTTTTGTTTTGTACCTCCTTGCAGACAACAGGAATGCTGTAATTAGACAAGGAGTGTAATGTGAAGTGGAAATCAAGTAAAATATGGAGAACAAGAAAGTGGGCAAGGATGACAAAATCTAAGCATTATCAAGGAACTAGGTGGCACACAGAGAACACAGGCTCAGTGAAAATATGTTCCTCTGAGGGACTAGAAGTCTGGTGGTTAATGTACCCTATATTCTATATACTTGGTGAGGAAACCTCCAGGCAGAAGAAAAAATACCTTGGTGAATATGTTAAACCTAATGACAAAATTGTGCAGAGGCACAGATGGGGGTTTACACAAATGTCTTGTCACAGCATTCCAGGAGCTGTGATGCAAACACTCGGTGGGTAACAAACTTATTTAAACTGACAATACTGAAATTGCTCAGAATGTTTTAAATCCATGCGTTACCCTTTCCTAGGCACAAATAGAGGTTACACAGGTCACAGATGTTGGTTGGGTGGGTCATCTAGTCTAACCTCCTGTTGGAGTAGGAGCTGGAACCCTAAACAGAGGGAGGTTGTGAAGGAGATCTGGGTGCTGCAGCTATTGGGTTGCAAAAGCCAGGCTGTGTTTAAGACCCATGTCCTCCACCAGCAGTGGTAGTGGGTGCAGCTTGGCACCTTCCAGCCTTGTGCTGGTGAGAGGCCTTTATTGCTGCAGCAGCTTTGAACTCCCTTGGCTGTATGGAGTAAGACTGACAGTTTGACGAGTGAATATTGCTGCTTCTCCTGGGAAGATATGGTGGTTGGGGAGCAGAGAGTTCATAGATAGTCCCTGCTTGTGGAAGGGAGGGAAATGAGATTTTGGTTTTGTGTTGGAGGTGTTTTTGACTTAACGTTCTCTCTTTGACAGCTGAAGAACCGTCCTTCAGATCCATGCTCTCTAAAACAGGGGCTGGGATAGTTGCTTTGCATGATCTCCTGGATAAAATGGAAGCAGAAGTTAAAGAGCAAGAAAAACTGAAGAATATGCTAAAAGTAATCCTTGTTTCCTGTTCATAAAATACTGAAAGATTCAGAGGAATCTTTGATAAATGTGTAGTTGTTCTTTTCTAGACCCTAAGTGATATGTTTGGAGGCACGAGGCTGCTTGTACATGGAACTGGGACTCAGAACAGGCTTACTGATAGTTTATTAAGCTGCTCTCCTGCATAGTGAACATTAAACCTTGAAAAATAAAATTTTTATACATTGAAAGCATGTCTTTAACATCATAGATACTTTAATCTAAAAAGCAGTTCTATTTTTACATCCTTGAAATAGCTATGAAAATTATTTAATTAGAATATTTATTTATTGTTGGTTTAGTGTGTACTTGCCATGCCTTCATGTTTAAGTTTTTTGTCATGGTGTTCTCTGGGGAATGGGGATGAGTTTCCTGCAGTATGCCATCATCACCAACTCCTTTCCCCTGGCCAAACGGGCTGGAGTGTATTAAAGATTTACTGCCTGCCCACTCTGATGTCTTTGACATCCTGACACAGAGAGGCTCATGTCTTCTCGCTCTTAGATTTATTTTTCTGAGCTTTACTATTTGCTGTTGGGAAATTAGTGGGTAAAGTGGTGGAGTGATGGCGATAGAGCAAAAAACACCTCTTAATAAAGTTTAAAATACTTTTAGTGTTTCCCTAATGGTAAGCTAATTTTACTTGCTTGATTTTAATAGTTCCACATTTCTGATGAACTCTAATGTTAATTTCAGAGCATCCAGAAGTCTGCTGAGAGAAATGAAAAGGCAGGATTGTACCTCTGTGAAAACATTCCTCCATGTCTGCGTAAACAAAAACAGAGCTGGTATGTGGTACATGGGCATGGAGATACTGCATTGCTCCTGGCAGCATCCAGCTGCACCACTGTACAGCTCTACTCCTTTTACTGTGTATTAACTGTGAACTTTTGGGAGCCAAGGCTGTTACATGTATTAATTCTGGAATTTGCTCTTGACTGTTCACTACCAGGCTTATGCTAGCACCCTAACAAAGCCCTCAGGTAAAAACCTATAAAATAGCAAGTTGTTCAGATGGAAGCTTCCAGTGGCAGGTGTGACATTATAGTAGAAGTCTAGTTCTTTGATAAATCTGAGAATTCATTGCTGTAAAATTGCAAACACACAGATTTAATAGCTGCAGGGCCTAAGGATTGACGGGCGGGTTAGTGATACAAATGCTGGGTCACTAGAACTGAAATCCAACACTGGCTTTCCAAATATAATTTCTTAAAAAAAAAAAAAAAGTCCTCTAACTCAATCATCTTTTTGTGGGGATTTGAATTATGGTTGTGGTATTTTTCTTCTCTCCCTGCAGCAGCCTGGCATTTATTTTAGATAGCAATGACATCTACATGCCTTTGAGAAGGCTGTACTGAGAAGCTGTTCAGAATAAAGTAGCTCAAGTGAGAGAATGAGACAGAAGTATATTAAACAATAGCTATTATTCAGAAGGCTTCTAAGACATTCTAACTTACAAGGTTTCTCAGAATGATCAGCTCTTTATCTGACTTGTTGGAATTGTTTTTATTTTTGAATTATGTTAGTGTATGCTAGAAGGGGATCTCTTCCAGAGTCTAATATCTGGAGATCCCAGAATGTGTCTCCACCCTTGTAGCTTCTTAGATGGCAATGCGTAAGTATTTGAATTCAGTGCTCACAGTATGTGCCCTGAATCTATCAGCTTTACCTGGTCTTGCTCCTGATGACAGACGGGCATCTGGCTGAAAACATTACAGGCATATTCCAGCAAAGTAAAAGGTTAGCCATGTGGAAATAGGGTTACAGAAGAGAAAAAAACCTAATTTTAGTGTGTAGCAATGTTCTCATCTGTGTAGGTAGTGCTTGTGCTGAAACTTGGACTAGTCTTAGATGATAAAGAGATGACTTGTGCAGAAGCTTTTTTCCTGAATGTGACCCTTTAGACATGAACCCTCAGCTTAGGAAACATCCTCCTGAAATGTGTCTTGAGATGTCTTGTTGCTTCTCAATTTCCTTTTAAGTTTAGATGTTGCTTTTTACTCTATGTGTGAAGTTCTTCAGAAATTATTGTTGGGGCTCTGCCTTCCTTTCATAAGTTTGTTAATTTAGGAAGGCCCTTTGTCTTAAGTTTATGTTAGCTCTTGGAAATTGATTAGATGTGAATGAGGCTTGTTTAGTGATTCTGTCACTGCTGATATCAAAAAGATTATTTTGAGATGTTGGTTTCCCTTCCAGTCTTGTCCTGCTTTTGATCAAGAAGCTAATTGTGATACGACTCTAGCTGGTCCTTTCCTATCTAGAGAACCACACGTATAAAACTAAGCAAGTTTTTCTAATAATTTTCTACAAATTTTGCTCTACCAGCTTACAACTGCTGCTCTGTCAGTGTCAGTTTGTGTTGTTGGTTTTTCCTGAGGAATAATGCATTATCTGTAAATGCCATTTGTCAAAGCACCCTTACTGCTTTGTCCCTATGTTGGCACTTCTTGGTGTTCACTGTGGTGTGCTGTGGAGGATCAAGCAAGCACAAGACAGACCATAATTGGTCAGAATCCATCTGTATCACTATAAATAGGTCTTCAGTCCTCTACCCCAAACCCTCCTCTATTGACCTCCATTTCTACTCCTCTACATCCCAAAATGCCTGGGGAGCAGAGTCGTAATTGTTGAGTGACTATCGTGAGATAAATGATGCAGAAAGCAGAACGAGCACTTGAACACTGCTGAGACAGACCTTCAAATCTTGGGAAGAATGAAAATGCCCACACAGACGAATTGAACAATTCATGGCTTTAGCTGTTATTTCTTTCCTGTTCTTGGGTTTGATATTCTTATTTACTGGAGGAATCTCACTGAAATAAAAAGCAGGTTTAATGTATTTTAAGCCCTTTGGATTCCAGGTGTTTCAGAGAGCAGTTTCTCACCACACCAAAAGCAGGATTTGAATACAAGCTTTGGTTCTTTTCATGGTCCAGGTCAGCAGTGATTACTGCAGCAAGGTAGGGGGCAGAAACCCAAAGCAGAAGTACCTGGGGGTGGAGAATTATCTAGAAAGATAAGAGGTTTGTTGCAGTGAGGAAGATGGTAGGACTGGAGTGTATGGGAGGAGTAAAGTTTCAAGATGCAAACTCAACTCTCTTGGTCCTTGTGTTTAATTACAAACCCATATCCAGTACCATCAGAAATCTCCACCCTTCCCTTTTCCTCTTCCTCGCTGACATTCCCTGCCACTAGTGCTAGCTCCAGGGCGCCAGGATTAGTTTTGTGCAGGGCCTCACATTGGTTTTCAGATGTTTTCACCTGGTGTTTAACTGTTGGGTGTCCTAGATTTCAGAAGGGGGCTGGATTGTAGCATGGCAGGGAGCAGAGCTTCCCTGTCACTGTGTCATGGACCAGACCGTTTGGGAGGCCAGCAGGTGACGCTCGCTGTCCTCTGCACTGCAGCCAGCTTCCCTGGGAAATGGGACACTGGGTTTGGGGGTGTCGCATCAAGTGACACATCAGATCCCAGCCCTTGGGTCAGCAAAGGCACTGCTGTGCTGTTTGCTGACTGCAGGGCCCTGCGTCGAACAGATCTCTTCGTGTGGGAAGTTAAGATCAAGGTAGAGGATCAGTTCTTTGTGACAGGTCAGCTCAGTACTGCTTCAGTTACTTCTGTTGCACATCTCAGACCAGTAATGTCCTCTTGTGAGATGACAGTGAATTTGGCTAAATGCGTTCTCTTCACTATCCTCCTACCAATGAGTAAGAGAACAGCTAGGTGGGTGATGGGCAGATAACTTGGGGTTTGAGGCTCTATAGCTGAGGATTTGGAGGAAGGATGAATTTATAAAAATAATGCTCTAATAATCACTCAAAGCATGAAATTCCTCAGCCCTTGGGATCTTACCTAAAAAAATCCCAGCCTGCTGGATGATGTTGAATTTCCTTGCTACAAAAGATTAATGGATGAGTCAGGCTCTTCCCAAGATTTGAACTTTTTTCAGAGAGCTGTGAAGTATTTAAAATCTCCCTGTTAGGCTGCAGCTCTGTGCTGTGGTTCATCTGATAAAAAGCAAGGCCTCATGTTCTGTGAAATGTAATGGTACATTGAATTCTTAACTGCTCTGTGCTGCATTTGGACTGCTTCCAATTCACCTGCTAGCAGCCTTTCTAGCAGAGAAATGAAGAGCTATAATGAAGTCAGCAGAAGTATGCAATCTGAAATGGAGTAGGCCTTCTTTATTTATTTTTCTTTCCTGAAAGATCATCATGCATTGTGTTCATCCAGCCTAACAGATCATTTGGAACATAGGTCTGTGAGTAAGCAGACTTGATAATATAATGTTATTCTCTTTACTACTTATCTGCTGTTTATAAACTTAATATTCATTCATTTTACAGCATCACTGGGCCAAGTGTGAAACATGAAGAGCCAAAAGTTGCAGCATGCAAAACTGAAAAGAAACCTAAAAAAGGGCCAAGATATATTAAAGCAGCAAGCTTAATAACTGCCGAAGAATTTGAAAAAGTTCCTGCGTAAGTAAGCGTGGCTTTTCTTAGACCCTGTCATGCCAGGTTGGGTGGCAAACATAGGTTTGTGAAAGGGAGCTCTTGCAGAACAGACTGACAAGAAATGTTTTGAAGTTTTAAATGTTCCACAGGATGGAACATAGTGATAATAGCTCCAAATACTTTATATGCTATACTGGCAAACCTGAAAATGAAATGAATAGAGCTAATAAGGTTATTTCTTACGTATCTTTTGGGAAGATCAGAACTAATCAGTTAAAACCCAAACCTGTTATCTCAGCAGCCACTAATTGTATGAACAGCAATATATTAGCTAATAGATGGGTTCTCTTCTTGTTTTGAAAACAGACAAAAAAACAAAGCCATCGTCTCATAAGATGAAAGGTATGGTTATACTTAAAAGAAAAATAATTATAAATGCTGTATTTATTTGACCCAACTATTGGTTTCAGAAAGTGGTAAGTCAAAACTTGAAATCTGTTTTGAGACACGAAAAGAAACCAGACTTGTTAAAAGCAAAAAACCACCTCCCACTGAAATTTCCCAAATTTCTGGAATAGAAAGCTGTGGGGTTTTTGCCCCTACTGTCAGGACCTGATTAATAGATATCCCTGTCTGAAGACTATCATGTAGGAATAACTTTTCTTAAATGGCATTTTGGGGACAAGGACAAGTATTTCTGCAAAAAGGAGAAAATTGTCTTGATGCCTAAAGCTAAATTATTGTCTAGATTCACCATGTTCCCTGACAACACTTGTTTCAGTAAGAATTTTTTTTTTGGAGTCTGTATTTTACTTGAGTCTTTCAAATCATCTTTCCTATAGCTTTCAAAATTGTAGGTACTTCTGATAAAATTTTGGAAAGGTAAAGCTGGAGCGTGCAAGCTTTTGTTCTTTATCTCTGATCAGGCAAGAGAAGTAGGCATAGACCATTGCAGCCAAGCGTAGCTTTAACTGGAGGTTAAAACAGTCTTTCCTGATAGCCCCTTAAAGTGTTTCATTATCCTTGAAAGTGGAAGGTTTTCCACTGCTGTTTGTGGCCAGCTGGATCCTCTTACATTCATCGCTGGCTTATAGAAAGGTTGCATTTTAGGCTGTGCTTGTGGGCCTATAGAAATATGTTTACTGAGATGGGAAAAGCATGTTTGTTCTGTGGAGGAAGATTTACATGAATTTAAATAGATCTATTAATTTCCCAGTTTTTTTCCTGTTGCCTAGCAGTGTTGTAATACAAGATTGTTGGAGTCTGCTAAGCTTGGAGTTTCACATACTACTTAACCAATCTAAGCAGCAGATGTTTGTGACCCAAATTTTCTTACACCTAACATATTCTCTGAGAAGAATGAGAATTAGGTTCATATCCCAGTTCAGGTCAGCGACAGTTCTGATGTGGGATCTCTTTATGCCTGCTGACAATAGTAACAAGGGACACTGCTGCATTTTTACGCAGCTCTGGTCCTGGAGCTGTGTGGCTGTGCCAGTACAGGACTGTGGCTGTGCTAAGCCTGTCTGAGGGACTGAATAAAGCACAACTGTGCATATGCATCACGTATGTGTCTAAATCCCATAGCAGCTGGGTATCGTGGGTTTTGCATTTGCCAAGATTCTCATTCCCCTCTCCCTTCCTCCCGCAGCTGTGGCAGACTGTAACTGAAAAATCTAGGTGATTTTCACCCGCTTTATGCTGAATGTGAAGGGGAATCTATCCCAAACACCATTAGGGCACAAAAAGGGATATAGAGTCTTCAGTGACTTCATATTTTTAGAACTCTGCAGCAGGTATTTAACAAATAAATGTACATGCTGTGTTAAGGTGCAGATGTGGAGCACCTTGATCAAATAGAATACTCTCTCACAGTAAGAAACTTGCAGATTATTTTAGCCTTCAAATCTGTTGCAGAAAGACCATTTTTGGAGGAGGAAAAAGGGAATTGCACAATAGATGTCTCAGTTAACTTCGAATTCAAGGCAAAGGAAAATGCTTGTCTTATTCTGTCTCTCAAATTATTTCTGCTTAAAATATTTTTAGAATCTGCACTTTCATTATATCTCTAAAGTCTCAGAAGATGGTAACTTGGGGGAATATATGTTTTTCTTAGCCTAAGTGTTTTTGTGGGAGCAGGATTTGCCATTAGGAGATTTATGTCTTCTCCAGTGGTATATAGATGATATATTGATGTTGTTTTCTTTGAAGAACACAGCACTGTACTTTGGTTTTCATACCTATGGAAAAAAAATGTTTTGAAAAGGGCTTCTGTGGATTAAAAAAAGAAATTGGTTTGCTTGTTTTTTCTTAAAAAAAAAGTTCTGAATGTTTTTGCTTTTGGTGTAGTGAAGCAGATTTTAAAGTAATTTTAAATCTAAATTAAATGGATGAATTTGGAACTTCTCAACTTTATGTTTTTATATTAGTGTGTGTATGGACTGAAATAAATGAAATAAATGTCAGCATTTATGGGTTTGCTAACCATGGCTGGATAGAAACATGAGAAGACTGTGAAACAGCTGGAGTTTTTATGATCCTTACGATTATACATAGAAGAAAAATTTCAGTTGCTTTTGACAGAATTTAGTTTCCAATTAAGGTGCCTACATTTAAGTGTCAGTGACACAAGTGCCTCTGCTCACCACGTGCCCCCACTCCTGTCGCTGAACACCTGGTCAGTACAGTTGGCAAAACCAGAAAAAGGCTCCACTGCCTCGCTGCTCATGGCATTTTTCAGTTGCCCACACAGAACTGTCTGGTGCCACTGCAGATGCTTTAGCGTGTACTGCCAGATCTTTAGTTACTGAATTTTCTGTAAATCCCAGCACATCTGCTGGCCTTGTGGGAAGATCTTGGATGCCGGAGGGCCTCTCAAGGACCATTCCATTCTTAGGTTTATGCAACCAAATCCCACTTCTCTGTTTATGCCTCAAAATGAGTTGAGGTGTTTTCTTTGCTTTATTAAGTGTGTTCACTGTATCTATTGATAGCAGGAGCATAGGAACTTAAGTACAGGTATTTTATACCTCTGGCCTTAATTTTCATTGTGCAATACCCCATACTTTATAAATAGGCTAAAGGATGCAGATGGAGCAATAAATAGCAGTTAATGTATAAAGGCAAAGCCCTCCTGTGCTTGTAGGCAGTGTTACTTGTTTGTGCTGACTGTGACTGCACTTCAGGGGTGGTAGTGCTGCTTTTATTTGGAAAGATGTTATGTGTGTGAAGTATTTTTGTAGAAGTGGCTGCACCTCCAATTTTGAATTTGGATTAATGAAAGCAACAGTAAAGTTGAAAACTGGCTGCAAATTACTTGGTGGCAATTCTGTCTGAAATTAGACTGATTGCTTTGAATTCAGGAGTTTTTACACACCCCATGCAGACTGTCTCCCCGGCAGGGACTTGCTATTCAAATCTACAGCAAGCACTTATTTTTAGTTGGCAATTGTACAATGCTTGCCCACATTCTGGTTTGGAATATAGGACTTGTAATTGATTAGCTACGTGTGCTTTAAATTCTTTGTATGTTTTCCAACAATTGAGTTTTTCCATTCAGATTAAAATGAGGGAAGAATTTCCCTTTTCATTGATCTTTTCAGTCTTGCTGTCGTACAGCTTTTAGCCACCTGCTGTATTGACTGCAAGAACCCCTTCTTAAAATTAACTGTAGCAGTTCTCTCAATTCCACACGTTTTCAAACTGATGCTGACCCAAACATAGTCAGGTTTAGCTTATAGCGACGGAACGATGGTTACAGGATAGTTCAAGTTGCAAGGTTGCCCTGGCTTTTACTGTGATGTTCTCCAGGCTTTTGTTTTGTATTTAGCTTACTGCTTGTCATAGAAGTTTCAGATTTCATTTTTATGTAATGGCTTCTCAGTTTTTAGCATGTTTCCTTTTCCTTGAATGCATGCCTTTACATCTATAAATACTGAATAGCCTTACTTGCAAATATTCCAGTGTTCTAGTATTTCCACATCACTTAGTTTTTATCTTCTTTGCTTCCTGTACCTCCAGGCTGTTATCAACAGATCTTATTATTTTAGTCCTAGTTTCATGAAATGCTCTGAAAGTTCAGAAGCGGATGTTGGTAGTGCAGAACTGTGTCTGTCTAGCTTAGTAGGCTGCACAATAAAATACAGAAAACAACCCAGAACTGGTATTTCTTCAAAAAGACAAAGAAATAGCTGTAAGATCAAGCACAGGTTATTTATTATTATAATATGAACCAAATTGCACTTGTAGGCAGAAACATTTAATTTTGGTTTTGGCTTGTGCTGTTTTCTGCAAAGTTGCTTGATTTTTCTGCATCTGTAGTTTGTGGTACACAATAAAAGCAACCTTTTATTCTATTTGGAAAGGCTCTTTACAGCTTAAGCACTGGATATTTTTTACTTCTTAATTTAGCTTTTTAATGTTTCATCTTTGTTTTAGGTTTTATTGTGGCTTTTTTACCTTCAAGATTATTAAACAATCAAGGAAATTAACAAAATTAACTACTACATTTATTCAGTAACACAGAGAGGAAGCATCCTCTAACTAGAAATGGCATATTCAGTTAGGGCTAATGAAAGTGAAAAATAAGCATGGAACTTTGTGACTTTCTGGTTACTGATCTTTATTTTTATTTGTAGGTATTTGAAAGGTCGTTTAACACGTGATCAGATTAATGCAGTTCTTCAAAGCATAAACAAAGCTGTGATGGCCAAGTACAAGATCATGCATCAGCCTTTGAAATCTATGAAAGCATCATCCAGAAATCTCTACAGCAGGTTCCTGGAAGAAGAGACGAAGGATACAGAAGGTGGTTTTTTTCTCCTAAATATTAAGCTCATAACACTTGAATATTGCAGCACGAGTATAAAAATACTGGACAAAATATTGAATGACTGATGACAGCACAGGCTTTTCATGTATAGTGTAATTTATAGCATCTTATTCTCAGAAGATAGTCTGTGCTGGCAGTCTGGTAGTTGTTGGAATGGTCTAACCTGTGGGTGTGTTTAAAACTATCAGTTTAAAACTATCAGTTTAAAACTATCAGTTTAAAACTATCAATCAGTTTAAAACTATCAGTTTAAAACTATCAGAGAAATTTTAGAAAACCTGTTATTGCTTAGTCTCAGAGAGAACAGGGAGTGGGGGGTGCAAATAATAATTATCTGTGGATTTAGCAGGGCTTTCCTTCCCTTGGCAGCACACAGAGTACCACAGTCTAAATAAGATTTGGCCCTGAAGAATTCCCATCCGCTGTGGGGAATGAACAATGCTTTGACAGTCTGGAGCAATGGAGGGTTTGGTTCTCCCTTGATATAAGGGGAGGAGAATAGAAATTAGATTCATCTCCAGATCAGATTCTAGGCCATAAGGAATATAAATGGCTTATTACTGTACAAAACTGGGCAGTCAGTATAAAATCCATTCATCTCTTATGGATAAAGTTGTATAGTGTAGCAACAAGGGTTATTGCTGTAATGGAAGAATTTTTCCCATAACCCATTTGGTTACTTTTTATATGATTTCAGTGAAAACATGTCATTTCTACGGTGTGTTGTAGCAAAAACTTTGAGGGCACAAAGATGTCATTTGGAATCACTACAAGTTCTGGGAACTCCTAGTTTGATAACCAAACTGTACAAACTGTGTTTTCAGTTTTAAAGCTGGAATGGACACGAACTAATAAAAATTTGCTCTAAAATTGGGAAATCTGGGTAATCAGTCATGCTTCAGTGACTTTGTAGAAGAAACAAGGCTGTCTGATAACCTTAAGTTTTCTCCTCCTGAAAGCTTAGAGAGTGCAAAATTGCACCAAAATTTCTGTCTCAATTTACAAGCAAGTTGTATTTACAGGTTAGTTTTTCCAAAGATATGTGGCACAGTCCATCTCTAATATTAAAATCTCTGTTTTGACATTCCTTTTGGGAACGAGTATGTAATTGTTCCTGGAGGGGTATGCTGCACATATCAAGCTTGGTGATGTCTTTGGAATGCCATCGTGTTTCCAAGTTCAGGGATAAAGTGTGGAGCAAACTCTTCTGTCTCACAGAAAGAGAGCTCTCTTTCTGACAACAACTTGGCACCCACCTCTCAATTTTTGCCCTGGACAGAATGCAAGAACATTCTGCCCTAAGTGTGTTCACTGGGTACTCAGGAGTCACTGTCTGACAAACCGAATTTTTCTTCCTTCCTTTGGCTTTGTCACTGCTCAAGACTCCCTCAATATTTATCATATGGTGATAACATCACTAACTTCTAGATGCTAAATGCATCTCTTCTGTAGGGAAGGAATTCTGATATGATGGACATGCCTGGCACTTTATTTTGAGACCTATAGGATAAACATGTCATATGAAGGTCAGTGTTTTAAAGGACTTTGATTAAAGCATGCTGAAGGCATGCAGCTGAACTACCTCACGTGACTGGCTTCTGACTTCTTTTTGGTTTAACTGTTGCTGTCCTCAGGATGATAGCAAGCAGTTTGAGCCCATGGCTATAGAGGAGAGGCTAAATGCTAGAAGGGCCCTCCTAAGCCTGGAATTCTGCTGAGTCTGCACTGTGATCCATGGCAGCCTCAGCTTCAATGAAGGAGCCATTCTAGCAACTTGAGAAAGCTACAACTAATCAGAGCGTTTTCTACCAGAAAGTTGGGGTTTTTTGAAGCCTGAAAAATTGAGGCTTTTAATTTCTTCAAGTACATGAGAGACAGTGTTTTATTTTATTGTGTATGTTGAAAAGTTCAGTTAGGAAACTAGGACATCCAGTGTCTGAGAGAGTGTGTGTGTTTATGTGGTAGGTTTTTTGTTTTGTTTTTGTTTGTTGTGACTAATCATCTAGAAAGTCTAGAGAAAAGGTCTGGCAAGCTGTCAGACAGTTCTTATCTGGCCAGCACAAAATGATTAAATGTATTTATCCATTGCATTTTTCAGGATGAGGTTGTGCATTCATTGATTTGTTTGCTTAAATTTCTACTGTGGCTGTCTCTCTGCTTAGGATTCCCACAGTTTTTAGTCCTGGGCTGATTGCCAGCTTACCTCTTCCTCTGATTTCAAGATGAGAAAAGATGCTGCCTGGTTTTATCAGGGTAACCTTCCAGCCAGTAAGGTGATTCAGTTAGTTTAGTGAGTTACTTAGTGCATGGACCTACTGTTTCCAACCAAACCACTGCCTTTTACCCAGCTGTAGTTTTTTTTTCATAAAAAAGATCTGAATTTTGCTGCCCTGAATTCTGGGCAAATACAAGAAGAAATTATATTCTGCACAGGTTCAGGACATTCTGACACTCCCCCAGATATAACAGACTGCAAAACCAGTATGTGGATTATCCCTGGGTTCCTAACACCATTTAGGTTTATTGCCCTATTACTGGAAATTGCAAATGGTGTCTATCCAACTGTAGTAATACGTTAAGCAGTTATGTAGGTTTTTTCTTTCTCTAGTGAACAAACTTTCCACTTCTCATCTAAATGTGAATTTGGCAGTGTTGCAAGCTCTGAGGTTCTATCATAGTTCCCATCTGGGGAAAGACCTCCAGCTTCTGACTGTTGTTGCCTCTGAAAGATTCTACTTCCCATTATACATCTGTATCACCAACTCTCAAAATGGCCGAGTCTGTGCAAAACCACTATCTGTTCTGCTCTGGCTAAGCACTATTTTGGGGAACACTGTGCTTATAAATGGCACTCTGGGACCTTAGTTCTAATGGCTGTCACATCCTTGGATGCTCCCTCAGAGTGGAGTGTGTGTCCTGTTAGATCACTTGTAAGATGAAATGTTTACAGAAAAACACAGATTTGCCTGAATAAAGCCACATTGTACTTGTTTAGTTATTAAATAATAGCTTTCCTGGCAGCTTCAGCTTTCCTGCTGGCATCAGCTACTTTCTCCTCAGTTAAACTGGAAGGACTCTCCCAGAACTTACTAGAAAGAAGAGATGCTCCATCTTATCTAAGATGAAGCTGCATCTGCATTATTTTAAGGGTGAAAGGATGAGGGAGAATGCTGTCCTCTTTTTTCCAAGCTAGAATACCCCTAGCCTTGTGACTTCTTTCTCACAAGACTGGGAAGCATGATACTACAGAAGAATATGTTGCTTCCTTCTACTTCCTTTCCTTAAAGATAATTAAACATTTCTTTCTTATACCTTAATTAGCATGTTCCTGGTTTCAGATTGCTCTTCTTTCCTACAGTTTTGTGAAGATGCATGGTTAAAATCCTATGCCATGTTATAGGAAGTATTAAATGTACAGTCATTTTACTAGATCTATAATTATCTCCTATCTGAGCAGTGTATAAAGCCTACGAAATCGCAGCTAGTGAATACAGCTATGATACACTTAGAATAACTCTTTTCTTCCTTCCTTGTGTCTATTGTTAGCTTGTGGCAACTTTCTCTTGGGGTTCTGTCAGGCATTTTAAATGTTTTAACTCCAGTCAAGACCTTGGTTTCTTAGAAGCACTTGATGATGAGAATTTCCTTATAGAAGTAGTTAATCAACTACAAAAAGGGGTGGGCTGCCAGCCCTGATGCAGGACCTTCCTGTGCCATTTTCTGAGACACACAGGGAGGATGCTGTTCCAAGCAGTTAGTCTTTTTCTTGCATTTACTTTATTAGAAGAACTATTTTTCTCCAAATGCGATGCAAGTCAAGGGCTACATAGCTCTGTATTCAGGGTTCCATCCTTTTGTTTGCGAGGGGCCAATTTCAGAACTTGAGTGTCTGCGGAGAGGACATCATCAGGCCACAGCTTATTTCAGACACTGCAAAACAATTATTTGGGATTGAGATTATGCTGCTACTCTACTGTGTTCCATGACTGAAACACTGAAGCATGATGCCTTTCTCTGTAAAGCTGTGCTAGGATCTTTAAGCAGACCCTGAGCATCTCTGGTTTTGCTCAGATCAGTGCTTTGGATGTCACTAAGAGCAGAACACCTATGGGCAAGGCCTCAAAGAAGTTCATGAGGTAGCGTGAGGCCATCTGACTGTTTCTTCATAAGTGTGTATAATTGTGAAGAGGAGGTCGTACTGTTACTCATGAAATGTTAAGTGTATCCCACAACATAGTCATGATTTGTTTTCCAGGTGAATTTTTTATTGTGGAGGCTGATCTCAGACAGTTCACGGAAATGGTGGTGGATAAGCGCGTCCGTGGGATCCTCAATATCCTGCGTCACTGCCAGAGATTGAGAGAAGTTCGTGGCTCGGGGCTTGTCCGCTACATCATCCGTTAACAAACTTTCCATATTCTGTTTACACAAGATGCTGAAGGCAGAAGGATTTTGAAATGCAGACATTGTATATATAGGCAACCCTATCTAGCTCTCTTACTTTCTAAAAGGCAGTAGTGAGGACCAAGAAGTGTTTTTCAGACATCAGTCCTAAATTAGGAGTGGCAATTGAAATATTTGTGTTTTGTTTTGAAAACTTGAGAGGAAATACTGTGTTTGGGTAAATTACAAAGGCAAAACCATAAAGGTGATTGATGCACCTGTGGTCACAGGTAGTTGTAATCACATTTTCAGGTCAGCAGTTGAAAGATCAATTCTCTGCATTTTAATAATGTTCCTTTGGTGTTTGAGTTGGAGACTCTGTTTAAGACTATTTAGCTACTCAAAGGCAGCAGTTGGTGCTTTTATTTTTTTTAAAATCTTAATCCAATTTCCAGATTTCCTTTTCTTAATCTTTTTCTTCTTATCGTAATTACATGTTTTGGAGTTTCCTACATCACCTGAACAGGAAGACCTGAGGCAGTTTAAACATTTCCAGACTGATAATCAATAGTTCTGTTAGCCATGTGGTTTTCATATTTCTTCATAGAGCTAGATTTTTCCCTCAGACCAACCCATGAGGCTGAAACAGTGGAGCGGTGGGGTTTAAGTGAAAATGCTGATTTAACTTCTAAAATACTTGTCAAATTTGTTATAATTTTTATTTTAGAAGGTTGTTTTCAAATGATCTATTAGTTTAGTAGGTTCCAGAGTAGAATGATTGTGATAATCATGAACAATGCAACTAATAAAATATTTTGACAAGGAAAGCAATGGTGTTTTTATTCCATGAGCAGGTATCTGCTGTTGTCCTAACATCTAATCTAAAATACCTCCTCCTGTACCCTGTCAGTGTTAAGATGAGAGTTTAATGGGCAAAACACCCTGCATTGACTTTGAACTTTAGAGATTCTGGTGAGTGTTCTATGTATGTGTATAAATAAATACATATATTCCCATTTTTTTATGTGTGGAGGGTGGTTGGTTTCTTGGGTTTTTTTCAGTCTTTTGCTCTGGGCTGTTGAGATCCAAGCTGAGGTCTCTACTCTGTCACACTGGAATGTATTTTGGTTTCAGATAAACACACAGCATATGAATATGCACAAAATCAGTTTCCATAGGGGTCAATTGAGTCCATTTGTTTCCTGCAATGATTCTTTGACATTAAATAAAGGGTACAGGTTTGGGTCCAGGTATCATCAGGTCTTTTTTTTTCCCAGCTTCATGTACTTTTAAGAATCTTTCAAGGTTCAGGATTTGGAACCTTCCATTTGATAAAAGCAAATATCCTCACAGAGCAGTTGCATTGCCTTGCCTTTTATTTCATGTTTGGTTTTGACATTTCCAGGTGCCAGGCACCAGAATGTTCAGCAGCCTAACTTCTGTTTTCTTCTACTCTCCTCCGATCATTGGACTCACCAGCTCTCCAGCCTGCCCTGTGAAGAGATCCCTTTGCATAGGAGGCCCTGGAGGGAGGTTGGTCTGTTAGACATAGAGCTATTTCAGTATTTACAGCACGTTGACTTTCCTTCCTCTGCAATTTACTTTGTGACTAGGTGGCTTTAACTTTGAAAGTGTGAGGAAGAAGCAAAGAGAGCCCAAAATGGACCCAGAAGAACCATGTCCAAGTGAACACTTTGTTCTAAGAAGAGGTCATAAAATTACAAAATGGTTTGGGTGGGAAGGGCCCTTAAAGACCCCCCAGTGCCCCCCCCTGCCCCGGGCAGGGCCCCCTTCCCCCAGCCCAGGGTGCTCCCAGCCCCGTCCAACCTGGCCTTGAACCCTTCCAGGGAGGGGGCACCCACAGCTGCTCTGGGCACCCTGGGCCAGCGCCTCACCCCCAAACAGGGAGGAATTGCTGCCTTAAATCTAACCTGAATTTCCCCTCTTTCAGCTAAAAACCATGACCCCTCATCCTACCCCCACCCCCTGACCCAGAGTCCCTCCCCACCTCTCCTGTCCCCCCTTTAAGCCCTGGGAGGCCACTCTCAGGGTCCCCCCGGAGCCTTCTCTTCTCCAGGCTGAACCCCCCCAACTCTCTCAGCCCGGCCCCCCAGGGGAGCTGCTCCAGCCCCCCCAGCATCTCCGTGGCCTCCTCTGGCCCCGCTCGAGCAGCTCCGGGTCCTTCTGCTGTTGGGGGCCCCCGAGCTGGCCCCAGCACTGCAGGGGGGGCTCCCCAGAGCGGAGCAGAGGGGGACAATCCCCCCCCTGGCCCTGCTGCCCCCCCTGCTCTGGCTGCAGCCCAGGGCACGGGTGGGTTCTGGGCTGCCAGCGCACGGGGCTGCCTCACGGGCAGTTTTCCCCCCCCCCAGCACCCCCAGCCCCTCTCCTTGGGGCTGCTCTCCAGCCGCTCCTCGAGGGCCCAGCCTGGGTTTGTGCTGGGGATTGCCCCGGCCCCCGGGCAGGACCTTGCCCTTGGCCTTGTTGAACCCCAGGAGGTTTGCCCGGGCCCCCCTCTCCAGCCTGCCCAGGTCCCTCTGGGTGCCACCCCTGCCCTCAGCGTGCCCCCCACCACACAGCTCGGTGCTGTCAGGGAACTTGCTGAGGGGGCATCGATCCCGCTGCCCGTGTCACCAGCAAAGATGTTCGACAGCACCAGGCCAACCCTGACCCCTGAGGAGTGCCACTCATCACTGCTGTCCTCTCAGACAAAAAGCTGTTGACCACAACTCAGAGTGCAACCATCCAGACAATTCATCCGCCAAGTGGTCCGTCTGTCAAATCCACATCTCTCCCATTTAGAGACAGGGGTGTCCTGCAGGACAATGTCAGGTGCTTTGCACAAGTCCAGATTGATGATGTTAGTTGCTCTTCCCTTATCCTGTAACCCCATTGTGGAAGGCCACCAAATTTGTCAGTCATGATTTGCCCATAGTGATTCCGTGTTGGCTGTCACCAATCACCTCGTTTTCCATGTGTCCTAGGAGGATCCACTTCATGATCTTGCCAGGCACAGAGATGACACCGGCTGGCCTGTGATTCTCTGTGTCCTCTTTATTTGCCTTTATAAAAATGGGGGTTATGCTTCCCCTTTTCTAGTCAAGAGGAATTTCATCAGACTGCCATGGTTCACAGTCTAAGGTCTATGTATTCAGGACGGTTATGGCAGGCTTAAAAAGGAACTTGTTGATGGGCAAATGAGACTGGGATGTCTAATGTTTCGGTTATTACAATCAGGGAAAGATGAGAGACCCTTTCAGAACGGTTGTTTAAAAGTTGCTGGTGTCCAACCGTTTGCTCCCTCGCTGTTCAAACGAGCAGGACGCTGGGTGCTGAAAGCCCCGTGATACCTGTGTCGCGCTGGGGACAGGAAACACACAGCTGCAGAGATCTGCAGGAATCCACACGAGCAGATGTAAAGGCTGGAAGTAGAGCGAGAAGAAACAGATCATTGGGCAAGCTGGCAGCTGGTGTAATTGCAGACCGTAGCCAAAGACTAACCTGTGCTGCTAAAATGGCCGAGGGATGCTCGTGCCAGCACGCAACATGATCGTGGTCACCACAACCCACTGGCTGCTTGCTGCCAACGGGGGGTTTTTGTACTTAGGCTGAGATCCAGGAGCTTGCCTTCTGCCAGATACTAAAAACCAAAACCTGATAGTACACCACATAATCTTGCTTTTAGCTATTCACAGTGAAGACCTAATAAGTGTTGTCAAAAGTATTTGTTTTCCTGTTCAGGTATCACTATGGTGGCTTTTTTTTTTTTTTTCCCCCTTACTACTTGGTCTGGGTAAGATTGGTTGCTGTATGAATATTTTTCTCCTGCCTGTAATTCCTTTTAATGTTTGGTTGTGGGAATTGCAGTTTGTCATTAATTAGATGTTGGTTAACAGCTTTCAGTCTGTTACTATGGAATTTTGAATTTTCTAAACTATTTTCCCTCAGGCAGATTCTCACAAGCATGCTCATTATTTTAATCCCCTATCCTCACCTTACATTTTCTTTCTTTTACTTCTCACAAGGAAGCCTAGCCATGGTCTGTGGTCACTGTACCCTTCCACCTTTCTCTTCAAAAAGTTCATGCTGACTTGCAAGCTGGAAAAGTGTAATGCCCAGGTGCCCAGCAAGCTCCTCTTGAATGAGTTTTTGGTGTTTCCAAGCTGTTTTGGGGACTAAATGCTCATCTCCAGGACTTGCCTCAAAAGATGATGATCTTCTGCTGTGTCTTTCATCAGCGTGCAACTGGCAATAGCACTAGATATCATAAGTGTTTCTGATAGTCCTGCCAGATGGTTTAATGTAATACTCTTCCAAAATACAGCGAACTTGCAGCTTTCCAGTGCTAACTTGCACTCTTCCAAATGTCAACTTCACTGATATTTCATCTTCTGAGAACAAGGAAATAAAACCGAGGTAACACTAATTACCTAATATATGAGAAAGGAATCGTGATCTTCCCACAGCCTTAATCCGTTCTGGGGACGCGGCTGGGTTCGTGCTTTCACACCCATTGCTCTCTGCCCCCTGGACACAGCGAGAGCCACGAGGCACGGGAGAAGCAGTTGATGAATATGTATTTGGTGAGTAAAGTTACCTCCTCGGGCTGATCTGGCCAAAACATTTGATGTTTGCAATAATCTGATGCGACGTGGGAAATACCTTGGGCAGAGGCACAAAAGGAATATCTTGGCCTTAAATGGTCAGAAATCAGACTGAATCCTATTGCCCCGTGCAGGGGGCTTGGGGGCCGGGGAAGGTGCCTCCTGACGAGGGGAAGGCAGCGTTGCACAAGGCCAGCAGGAACAGGACTGACCAACTGCCCGACTGTGCTGCTTGGGAGAGGAAAGCCAGCGACACGCACGGTCCCGGGGGAGTTGGGGTTTGTGCCTCCCAGGGACCCATGCACGCATCTAGAAAGTTGAGACAAAACAAAGCTGCTTCTTAAAAACACTCGTGGTTCCTGTTGCTTTGCTGGTTTTGTTGGTTAAAAAACGCATTTTTTTTTTTTGTTGTTGGTTCTTAGCTCCTCTTTTGAAGAGGCACTAATGGAAATAATTATCTGTCGAAATCAATGCTCAAAGCGCTCTTACCCATGAGTATTTGGTTCAGTGTTTGGCTGCGTGTTATTTCAGGAGGCAGAGATTTCCATCTGTGAGAGCACATGTTCCCTTTCATAGTGCCCACGAGGAGGAAGAGAAAATGAGCATTTTGTGTCATTCACACTGGATCTTTGCTTGTAGGGAGTTAATATCAAAAAAAAGCTGGTAAATAACTGTGTAAGGGAATGCTGGATCAAGAATGTAATTGGTATTGAGGACTTTGACAGAAGAGTCTGAATTGGGAACGGTGTCTCTCCCACGCACAGTTTTATCAAGTGACCCTCCGAATTGTTCTCTTCATTTAAAAAAAAATTTAAAAACTTTTCTCTAGGATGGTGCTTATGGGACTAAATAATCTTGACGTGCTGTAGTGATTGCAACCACAGATCTGCTTGCCTTCCCCTGCGCCGTCCCAGCGCGCATACGATCTTGCCCTTGTCAGCGGAGCAGCATGGGTTTGTGTTTCAGACAAGCTCAAAACCTCGCTACCTACAGAGAAATCCTGTGCTCACGCACCCGCACGGAAGAGCAGGAAGTCTTGATTTAAATAATTATGTTTGATGCAGTTTTATATTTATAGAGTTTTTCTTTTCCTTGACTGCTTGATTCTTAATGGATGAGACCTTTTAAGACATGTTGACTGCAACCAAAACCCAGATCTGGGCTAAATTTGGAACCCATGCATGTGGTAACCAGAAGAATATATATATAAGCAGCTACAGAGCTTA